GGCTGGGGATTCAAACCCGCCACCTTAGGTGTATGTGGCTGGCGCCTTAGCCGCTTGAGCCACAGGCGCCGAGCCCCACACCATTTTTCCTTTCTGGTTATTACTCTTATGGACAAAGCTATATTTTGTGATAACCTTTGGTTTGCCATGCATGGCTATAAAATATAGTTTTTCTCTCCAACATATTATAGGAATTGCATTTATTATAAACTTATAAGGAGCACTAACTTACTCTTCACCTCTTTTGGTGATAGCAGTTACCTATTTTGTGAACCACCTAATCCAACTGTGCTTTATAATTGCTGTTATTCCTACTGCTGATGATTCCATTCATAAAGTTACCAGAAACTGTCTCAAAATGCATTACTTATTTTACATTCCAGGGACTCTACACAGTAGGGACACAGTGTCCTTAAGCTATCTTCTCTCAAGTGAAGTGAAAACACAAGTGTCTTGAGGAAAATAATGTTTCCTAAAAAACCTTTAAATATTTCTGATGTGAAAAAACTATTCATGTAAACTAATATAGGTTATTCATATTCTGTTGTTAAAGCAGCTGTCTTAGTGAGCAAACTAAATTTTTATAGAAACAAAATTGTCCAATAATTTTTATAGAAGAGTCAGTCATAATATATTCAATCTTTAAGATTTATTCTGAGCTTGGTGCCTGTGGATCAAGTGGCTAAGGTGCCAGCCACATGCACCAGACCTGACAGGTTCGAATCCAGGCCAGGCCTGCCAAACGACAATGACAACTGCAGCCAAAAAACAGCTGGGCATTGTGGCAGACAACTGTGGTCCCAGCTACTTGGGAGGCTGAGGCAAGAGAATTGCTTAAGCACAGGAGTTGGAAGTTGCTGTGAGCTAGGATGCACAGCATTCTACCCAGGACGACAGCTTGAGGCTCTGTTTCAAAATAAAATTTATTCTGTAGATTGATTCAATCGATGTAACAATTCTTATAAATCTCTGGATTGTAGTTTCTTTTCATTAAAATGTGAGCACTTTTATTTAGGAAAGGAATGAAAGAGCTGAGATGTAATGATTACAAAGCATTTAGAAAGGCTGGACAGCTGGCTGAATAAATTACAGAACAAGTATTTAAATGTTACTCCACAAAATGACCCGACACTTATCAAATGTCTCTTAGTCGGGTGTAGACATTCAGAAACTTTCTGATGGTTATCATATTCATAAAAGTCATGCCATACAGACACCAGTATAGCAAAAATTAAAATTATAGGTGATACAAGTTATCTGGGGGGACTAGAATTACTCAGATGATGCTTTTGTTTTTCGTTTTTTTTTTGGATACAGAGTAAAGCTGTCACCTTTAGTAGAGTGCGGTGGTGTCACAGGTCACAGCAACCTCAAACTCTTGGGCCTAAATGATTCTCTTGCCTCAGCCTCCCAAGTAGCTGGGACTACAGGTGCCCGCTACAGTGCCCAGTTATTTTTTTGTTGTTGCGGTTGTCATTGTTGTGTAGCTGGCCTGGGCTGGGTTTGAACCCGCCAGCCTCAGTGTTGGTGGCTGGCACCCTACCCACTGAGCTATGGGCACCACCTGATGCTGTTGTTTTTATTTTAGCTCAGGGTACAAAAATGTTATTTTGTCCACTTGTTGTTGTCCACCACCCCCCAAACACACACATACACGCTGTCATGTATAAAATGTATAGTTCTGTTGAAAGAGGAAAGTACAAATGTCAGCTCTTTAGCATTAGATAGTTGGAATCCAGAAACAGCACGTTTTCTAGTGTCTGATCACCTAAATGGAAATTTTTTTGTATTGGTTTCAAAGCTGTCTGTCCCCAGTGATGCTATTTTGTTAGATTGCATATGTATACATTTAATATTAACAATAGGCTGTTTTTTATAGGATGATAGCAGTGATGATGGATTCCTTGCTGATGACAACTGCAATTCAGAAATAGGACAGTGGCATTTAAAGCCTACTATCTGTAAACAGTAAGCATTAACTGTTTATCTTCCAAACTACATGATAATTTTTAGTTAAGTATACTCACAAAATAAAAAATAACTGAACAGTTTTAATTTTACTTATTAAAACAAGAAGTTTTATTTAAACAGAACTTGAAAATGCTGTCAAGGTCACTGAGGAAACTTGGGGCATGCTCCACAGGGATTAAGGAGTGGAAAATGGGTATTCATTTCAGTGCTCCATTTACTGATCTTCCCAGCCTCTCCTTTCACAGCACTGCAGGCACAGTTTTGATTATGAACCACTATTTCTTAGGGCACTGGTTCTCAACCTTCCTAATGCCACGAGGTATTTTCATTGTTACAAGGGAGTCAGGACCCACAGGTTGAGAACAACTTCAGCAACTGTGGTATATATGTGTTGCAATATGTAGAGAGCTTTTTTGAGGTGGGTTTTAGTTTTTTGGATCAGATAAAATAAATAATAAAACGGTACATTTGACTGCATGTTAGTAAAAAATAAACCAATATGCCTTAGGGTATATAGTGCTTTGGAGCAGAAAATACTACATATCAAAATAGAAACATGGGGTTAAAGTTTATCTTGGTTTCATAGCTACTACATGAAGCCCTAAGAGTTCAAGCAGTCCTAAGAGACATGTTCCAGATGGGGACCCCAAATAAGAGTGAGTGAGTGCTAGTTTCAGAAATACTATTTTTTGCTGTGCACAGTGCCCTCCCCTATGTTTTCCATGCTCTTTAGCATATTTAGTAACTGTTAGCTTAAAGGTTACAGTGTCCAGAAACTTTTGACATTTTCCAAGGGATTTTTCAGTAATTTTTGTAGAGATACCAGTGTAGATGAGAAATATACCACTCTTCATTGGTCAAAACTTTTTTTTTTTTTGAGACAAGGGTTTTATTATGTCACCCTCAGTAGAGTGCTGTGGCATCACAACTCACAGCAACATCTAACTCCTGGGCTTAAGGGATTCTCTTGCCTCAGCCTCCCAAGTAGCTGGGACTATAGGTGTCTGCCACAACACCCCCGATCGTTGTTTAGCAGGCCTGGGCCGGGATTGAACCCACCAGCCCCAGTGCATGTGGCTGGCACCCTAACGACTAAGCATGGGCACCAAGCCCAAACTGCTTTTGTTGGAAGTTCATCGTAAGTTCAACAAAACCGATAACTGTATTCCAGGGTATTATTTTGCATACAGATATTGTTACTGCTTTCTAGAGTTACACTTCTAACACATTAAGCATAAATATAATACCAAATTAATGTTACCCATGTATAATGCATATCCTTATTTTTCCCTCAAAAATTTGGGCAAAAAGAACTCATTATTCACAGCAAAATAAGGCACATGATTCTTTGGAAGTCTCTCCAGAGACTCTAAACTTCTTCGATTAAAGCATTACCTATTTCCAGGCTAAATCTTCTTTAACTTTTTTTTTTTTTTTTCCAGTAAAGGTTAATAGAAACTCCATGAAGAGACTTGGAAAAGCAAACGTGATTTATAAAGGAAAATAGACCTAGTATATTATAGTTAAGGAATCTCCAAATTTCATAAAATCTTAGCCAAGAAGAACTTAGATCTTTGTAAACATTTGGGGACTTTTAGCACTATATTATACTTCTATCTCTCTTATCTGAGTTTATAACATAACTTCTCAGAATTAAAATGTTGAAGGTTTGATCTAAGATACAGAGTGATTTGAAGTGGAATCTTGGGAAAAACACAGCATTCTAAACTAATTGTTTTATGTGTGATTCTAAACTGTTTTATGTGATGACTACTTCTTCTATGAGTACCTATGACTACTTCTTCTAAACCTGTAGTAGGTTTTAGTTAAAATTGGGTTGTTCTTGGGCAGCGCCTGTGGCTCAGTGAGTAGGGCGTTAGCCCCATATACCAATGGTGGTGAGTTCAAGCCCGGCCCTGGCCAAACTGCAACAACAACAAAAAAAAAATAGCCAGGGGCTGTGGTGAGTGCCTGTGGTCCCAACTACTTGGGAGGCTGAGGCAAGAGAATCACATAAGCCCAAGAGCTGGAGGTTGCTGTGAGCTGTGATGGTACAGCACTCTACCAAGGGCGACAAAGTGAAACTCTGTCTCAAAAAAAAAAAAAAATTGAGTTATTTTCTATCTACTTTTGCATGGTCTAACTTTTATTGATTTAGAGTATGTGTGTGTTCAAATTTTCAGAATTATTTTGACTTACTGCTGATTTTGAAATATTTTTAGAAATGAACTATAGATTTTAGTGTAAAATATTTATTACTAACATGGTTAAATTAATATTTTATAATGTTTAATATAACCAAAAATAATTTAAGTATTATTGGGCTGTAAGGTACACATTTTTTCCCCTAGTGTTTACGGAGAGGCATACAAAGGGAATTTTAAAGGTTTTAAATTTTATTGTAGATATGCCACTTTTAATCTTTTTATACCTTTCTAATGTCTTTAACTTTGGTTATTTGTACCCTGCAGACCCTGTATCTTACTTATGGACTCACTCAGAGGTCCTTCCCGGTCAAATGTTGTAAAAACCTTAAGAGAGTAAGTTGGGAATTATACCTTGCATGTTGTTTTCTCTTGTGGTGGGGCTGCGGTGTGGGTACGTTCTCACTATATGTATGTTATTGCAGGTATTTGGAAGTGGAATGGGAAGTTAAAAAAGGAAGCAAAAGAAGTTTTTCCAAAGATGTTATGAAGGGCTCTAATCCCAAAGTACCCCAGCAAAACAACTTCAGCGACTGTGGTGTATATGTGTTGCAATATGTAGAGAGCTTTTTTGAGGTGGGTTTTAGTTTTTTGGATCAGATAAAATAAATAATAAAATGGTACATTTGACTGCATGTTAGTAAAAAATAAACCAATATGCATATTTTTTAAGAGGTTTGAAAATTATTGTTTCAGAAGTTATTCCAGGGAGCAAAAACTTCAAATTGAGGAACTTTCAAGGCAGAAAAACACTGTATTTATAACTCATTAAATCCAAGGCTCAATTCTTTTACTAATCAATCATTGTACCCTTTCTAATGAGTCTTTCCACCTTAAGAAATCTGTCCCGGCTCGGCGCCTATAGCTCAACCGGCTAAGGCGCCAGCCACGTACACCTAAGGTGGCGGGTTCGAATCCCCAGCCC